AGTACATGACAGATCTAGTCACTCAACTAAATCCCCACAAAATTCAACATCTGGCCTACGCCTGAAAATGTACCTTTTTTCCAAAGATATGTTAATCAAATTTACCTCCATTTCTTGACTCACCATTGGTCCTAGCGCTGATTATCAATCTAATTCAGAATTTAAATAGAACCATGCCCTACGGCTTATCCTATTTTCTGGAGAAACTGTCGATCAACAAGCAAGTAGTCGGTATTAATTAAAGCGAGTTATATTATTAAACGTCCGTCTAATTGTTCAAACTATCGTTCTAATAATTGTGAATTAATAAATCACACTTTCTAACATTTAATTAGGCTTTTAAATATTCTTATCATTTAATATATCATTCCTTATAATATATCACCAGCTTAACACAAAATTTACTTCACTGGTCAACCTAGGAGAGCTGTCAGCCTCGAATAGTCCACTACTCGTAAAAGTACTGGTAAATTACTTTTAAAACTTTACTTTATTACAAACACTGCTGAACACAAAAGCATTTGCTGCCCACGTGCTATACGCTGACCTGTTATATGTATGTGATAGTTGTGGATTCGGAAGTGAAAAATTATTATAGCTATATTTGATATGGATATTTATAATCATAGTCATAAGGAAATATCAGGGTACAATCCTGCAGATGCTTTCATAATTGTATTAATCATTATGTTTGCAAATATAATGTAGAAGAAAACGATCGAATTTTTTAGAAGGGGTTGAAAAGAGGCTGAGAGAAAGTAAGGAGAGTCCTAAGCAAATGATAATTACTCAAAATACGTGAAACTGCATTGAACTTACCCTTAATTGAGAAGTGTACCAGAATTTTTTTCCTGTTTTGTAAGATACAAAAAGAAAATTGTACTTGTCTTGAAAAAAACGTTGTCAAAAAGCACTAATATACTGAAAACTGATTTGACTTGTAACCATTTTTCTATTTTGTTTTCATTTTTAATACATACTTTTGTTGCAAAAAAAAAAAGAAAAAAAGTGGACAGTTGACCATTAGAGTTCTTAGAGACCCTTTCCTTATTATTCAGCTTTTTTTTAATATCTCTATTTATTTAACCAATGCAGACAAAGTTTACCACATCGTAAGGCTTTTATCACATACATTGCTCTTTGCTGTTTTGAGGTTATGTTCAACATTTAAAGGTACTCATATTTAGATAATATAGCCACTTACATCCTATGGTCTCATATCAAACAGCTTTATGCAGACTGAAGTGAGAAGTTGGTTAAATTTAAAACAGTTTTATACGTTTTTCTGAAAAAAATCGTTTTTTTTTGTAAATTTTGGAGGTTAGAAAAAAAAATTCTTTCATAAATGTTTTTCTCGTATTTCACCCTACTGCCTGGTATTACGTTATTCCACTAGAAATTACACAGTAAGTTATTAGTGTAATCTCACGAAAAAACTCATGTGTAAAGCCATGTGGTATTCCATGAAGGTAATTGGTTGGTAAATTACATGTATAATACTTGATGGCGTTCCACATGGCACTACACATGGCATTCCACATGGCATGCCACGTGTAATTACGTTAATAAAATTTAAAAAATATTACTACATACATTAATAAATACGAAATGTAATTTTTACTTTTTT